GCATTCTCTGCGCTAGATACAGACAGCTGTCTTGGAATGGCCCGGGCCCCTGCATTCTGGGTGCTCCCGCGCGGCTCTGGTGAATCGTCGCGCGAATGTTTGCACAGGCGTCGGGAGCCTGGCTGCGCTTCCGCACATCTAGTGTGGCCTCGAGTGGCATACAGCCCCATGCTGCAGCCCTCTTGGGCCCTTCGTGGACAGTCCTGGAGGCCGTGAGTGACGGCTTGAGGCGCCAAACTCAGTGAACACCGTCGGTTGTCGTATGGTTTTCTCATTGTCGCCTTTTGTCAAAAGCTCCGAGCCCAATGCGGCCCCCGACGCCCCCGAGAGGGCGTGAGAGGCCCCCCCACGACTGCCCAAAGAAGGGCCCAAGAGGGGAAACCGGTACTGACATTCCCAGCCCTTCCCCACAGAAATCATCTGAAACCACCAGCAGACTCCCAAGAGGCCATCAAGCGACCCTCACATATGTCCGAAAAACTTCAAACAGGGCACCCAGAACACCTCTCAAGAAGCCTCTAAACAAATTCTGGTCCACGACACAGGCGCGACGGCGAGATGGGTAGGAGACCATTGTGTTATGTTGGTAGCGATGCGGCAACACGCGGCGACGGGGTGGCGACGATGTGGCAACAAACCGAAGGCGACGACGGGCGGAAGCATCCTGAATTCTCGGCAGCGCGGCCCAGCTTCTCACAAGAGAACTCACGAACTACCCCCAATGCAAACACATTTGGGAATTTTGGGCGCTTTCTCCTTGGAATCAGGGCGGCCTTCCGCGAACCAGCATGTTCGGAGCTTTCCGCGACGTGACAAAAACAATACCTGGCAGGACTGCGGCTTTGAAGTAGCACCGCCCTACACCCCGCAATTGTTTGAGCTTCTGGCCCATATGATTGTTTGCATTGGCGGAAGCATGCACCAACCAAACTTTGCAAACAAGTCACGCCGTATGCGCATTAACATTTCCGTGAACAGGTAACACTCCAACATCATAGCACGTGAGAATATGCCAACAGAGAGCCGACTGCCCGCATCCGTTCGGCTAGAGAATCCACGCCTCATTTGCTGGTTCGATATACTAGATGGTCACCCCCTAGGCGACAACCGAAGCTTGAAAGCGACCCGCCTCCGTCCGTGTAACTGTTGACAAATACGGAGCCCCGACCGCACTGCCGACGCGCTTGGTGGTGCGGCTAGGAGCGACTGCACATACAAGGAAGAAGGCTGGACGATAAGGGGGAACGTGGATGGGGAAGTGAAGGGGATGTCAAGGCAACGGGCGGCCTGTCGTGGAACATCCGCCGACCCCCCACCCCACCTCAATGGGTCAAGGACCGTATCACGGGACGGGAGAAGGAATGAGGCAAAAAGGAATAGAGGCCAGACGGGGAGGTGGACGAGGGGGAGGAGAAGGGGGAGCAGCAAGGGGAGACTGCTGACGCTGAAGATAACGGCGATGAGGGGAGGGATGATGAGGAGGAGGAGAATGAGGAGGAGGAGGAGAACGAAGAGGAGAAGCAAGAGGCGGCGGAGGAAGAGTATCATAAGGATGGTCATGGTCAGACACGATGTACGCCCGAAAAGCAATTACACGCTGGACAAAGTCAGGGTCACGGTCGCAACTGAAATCGCGCTCACAGTCCTGCTCATGGACATGCACAATAGTGGATCCTGTCACGGTGACGGCTTGGGTTTCGGACACAATCACGGTCGAAGTCAAGTTGATGGACAACATCGCCATAGTCGCCGTCCGCGGCATCGTCACACCCGGTGCTTGTACTTCGGGTTTATGCTGATGGCGGTCGGGCTGCTGGTGGTGACCAGGATGGTGAGGAGGGCGGACGGCGAGGAGGGGGATGAGGAGCAGGAGGAGGCGGAGGATGCTAATGCTGATGCTGATGCCGATGAGGATAATGCTGACGCTGATGCTGCTAATGATGATGCTGATGATGGTGATGCTGCTAATGGTGATGCTGCTGCTGCTGCTGCTGTTCATGATGCTGCTGCTGCTGTTTGCGATGCTGATCTTGTCGTTGAGGATCCTTCTGGTGACGAGGGGGATGAGGATGAGCAGGAGGAGGATGCGGATGATAAAGGAGCAGGAGGAGGCGGCTGTGGCAGTCTGGCGGTGGTGGCGTTGGGGTCACCGTTGTCGTTGTCGCTGCAATCGTCGCCGCTGTCGCCGCCGCCGTCAGCCTCGCAACCCTCGCTGTCAACGGCACGCGCAGTCGTCCACGTTGTCCACACGGCAGCGCTGCAGACGTTTGCGTCGCAAGGCCGCCGAGCCCAGAGGCCAGGGGGGCCAATGCGAGAGGAGGAGGAGGAGGAGGAGGAGGAGGAGGAGGAGGAGGAGGAGGAGGAGGAGGAGGAGGAGGAGGAGGAGGAGGAGGAGGATGAGGATGAGGAGGAGGAGGAGGAGGAGGATTAGGACCAGGAGGAGGAGGAGGAGGAGGAGGAGGGGGAAGAGGAGAATGAGGAGAGCAAGGATAATGAGGAAAAGGATAAGCAAGAGGATGATGATGATGATGATGATGATGATGATGAGGAGGAGGAGGAGGAGGAGGAGGAGGAGGAGTAGGACAAGGAGGAGCGAGATGAGGAGGAGGAGGAGGAGCAAGAGGATGAGGATGAGGATGATGATGATGAGGAGAAAGAACAGGAGCACGATGAGGAGAAAAGGGACGGTGTGAGAAGTAGTGAAAGGAGCAGGAGGATGAGAAAGACGAGCACCTTTGAGGAGAGGGAAGACACGGACGGAGAAACAGTTCGAGGAAGAGGAGGATCATGACTGGTGATGAGGATGAAGATCGAAGGGGGACGGGGGGGAGGATAACCAGGAAAAGGAGGAGGACGACGAGGTGGGGGAGGAGGACAGAGGAAATTCGACCGAGGAGAAGAACTGCATGAAAAGGGAATCCGGATTTTCCACCCCCGCAAAACGCAATCCTTCGCACCCGCACACGAGTTACCGGCCGGCCATCGACTTACAGGGCAGGCGCACGCGGTGGCCTCGGGAAAACACCGCTGCGTGTTGCGAGCGCCACGGTGGAAGACGGGGCGCCGAGGAGAAGAAGGAGGAGAAAGAGGCCAAAGAAGAGTTCCAAGGAGGAAGATGCCGTGGGGGAGTGGGGGACTGGCCAGGGTCGATGCGGGTTGTTACTTGGTGTCCCCGAGAACGGGGGATGCTGGCCGCGTCCCTGGCAGAATCGGATTCCCGAATGCGGCCGCGTAGCGTACGCCTCGCTCCCGCATGGCTCCTAGACGCTACACTAGCTGCCTCCTCCTCCTGCCCCAACTCTTCCTCGTGCCTCTCCTCCTCCTCCTGCTGCCCCTCCTTCTCCTCCTCCTCCTCCTCCTCCTCCTCCTCCTCCTCCTCATCCCCCACTTTCACGGCAGGCGCACCCCTATGTTTCTTGTGAGTTCTGGGCCACAGGCTTTGCTTCATCTGTCGCTAGTGCGCACGAGACCAGGCAATGGCAGCACGTGCTTCTGCGCGCGCGCGGGGGCGAGCGCGAATCCCTGGAGAAGGAGAAGGGCGGCGCCGCCCCAATGGGGGGCAACGTCGCCACACACAATGATAGGACATGTGCGCTCCCCGCATCGCCCCGCCTCCTCCTCCCCTCCCCTCCCGCCACAATTCTCCGAACACTGCGTGTACTACTGGGCCCCTGCTCGTGAAGCAGGGGGCAGCCTGGGGGTTCCGGACTTTCGCCTGGTGGGCGCCTCGTGATGGCTGGACGTTCCGGGTCGTCGGTTGGTGGGCGCCGGTGGGCGCTTGCTTCGTGTTGGCCGGGTGGTCCGGGCTCTCGATCGGTGGGCGCCCGTGAGCGCCTCGTGGGTGCTTCGCGCTGGCTGGGGATTCTGGGTGTTCGCCAGGCTGGCGCCTCGAGGACGCCTCCTGCACCGACTGGCGCTTCGATGGCATGACCCTGCCCCTCCTCCCTCCCCCTCCTGACCACCTCCTCCTCCTCCTCCTCCTCCTCCTCCTCCACCAGAACCACGCGTCCATCCCTCCTTTCTTCCTCCCTCCTCCCTCTACCCTCCCCCTCACCTTGCTCCCTCTCCTTTCTCGTCCTCTTCCTAGTCCTCCTCCACTTCCACCGTTTCCTCCTCCTCTTTCTCTTCTTCTTACTCCTGCTCTTCCTCTTCCTCTTTCTCCTCCTCTTCCTCCCCCTCCTCCCCCATCTCTCATGGCTACCTTTTAGCTACCACGCTCGATCGCAATATCGCAGCCGTTTTCTGCCGCCCACGAGCCGCCTCGCAGCGACGGCGTGAGGGTCATGGGTAACACGGATGAGATGAGGAGTGGGGGACGAGGGGGGGACCAAGCAGAACAATAATAATATGAGGAAGAGATGGAAACGTAAGCAAGAGCTCGAGGAGGGGGGGTGGAGGAGGAGAGGGGGGATGCTGGCGAGGGGAGAACGAAGATGAGGGGAGACGAGGAGAGTGCAGAGTACGAGGATGAGCGGAGATGGGGTCTGAGACGGAGACTGAGGATGAGGAGGAAGAAAGAACGGAAGACGAGGGTATGAGAGGGACACGGAAACGGAGGAGGAGGAGGAAGGCGAGGAGGAGGAGGAGGAGGAGGAAGAGGAGGAGGAGGAAGACGAGGAGGAGGACGAGGAGGAGGATGAGGAGGAGGACCAGTGTGAACCCAAGAGCCATCAAAGATGTTGGAATAAACCCTCCCTGCAAGCTCCCTCTTCATGGGCCCCATACAACCGTTCATTTCCATTGAGGGAACTGCCTCGTTGGAAGACGACTGTTTGAAGACCCTGAAGCATGCCAAAACATTGTTCCCGGGATTCCAACCCCACGGATCAACTTGACTGTTGCGTCTTGACGATCCTGAATCGTGCCAGGACGCCATTATTGGGATTTCAACTCCGCGAAACAACGTAACTGTTGCACCCGCAAAATCCAGAATCCTTCCAACGCTTGCAACTTCTATAAACGAATGTGCACGGCGCTAAAGCGCGAGCCACATATTGAAAAGGAGCCGCCCTCAATCCGTGAAACTCTGGCACATTTCTATAACAAATTTACACGTCGCTAAGGCGAGAACCACATTTTGAAAACGGGTTGTCCTCAATCCATGGGACTCTTGCAAATTTGATAAACGAATGTGCGCGGCGCTAGGGCGAGAGCCACATTTAGAAAACGGGTTGCGAGTGTGCACGGCGCTAAGGCGAGAGCCACAATTTGAAAACCAGCCGCCCTCCATCTGTGAAGCCGTTGCAAATTCTTAAATTTCAGAATCGTGGGTCGTGAGGAGGTCCCATGCGAAGCGCCCGGCCTGCCCTAACAACTGGCCACGGGGTGCGATAGGGAGAAATTAGTTGCAAGGAGAAGGAATTGAGACGAAGAGTCATGGTTATGGTGGCGTTGATGATGGTGAGGAGGACCAGGTTATCACTGCAAGCTCTGGCGCGGCCCTCTCAGCCCAGGCTCTGCGGTACAACTGGGGGCCCTAGCGTACCAGGCTGCGTCTCAGACAGCCTGCTCCCGAGGCCTCGGAGGATCTCGACCAGCAGGCGGTGGTCGAGCTCCTCCTCCTCCTGCTCCTGCTCCTCCTTCGCTCCTCCTCCTCCCGCTCTTCCTTTTCCTCCTTCCCCCTCCCGCCCCACCTCCTTCTCCTCCTCCTCCTCCTCCTCCCATTTCTACTGCTCCTCCTACTTGCTCCTCCGCCTCCTCCTCTTTCTTTTTTTCTTCCTCCTCATCCTCCTCATCCTCCTCATTTTCTTCCTTCTCCTCCTCCTCCTCCTCTTCAAATTCCTCTCCTCCTGCCTCCTGCATCCTCCTCCTGCTTCTTCATCTCCTGCTTCTTCTCGTCCTCCTCGGTCTCATCCAATTCCACCTCCGCCACCAACTCCTTTTTCTCCCATTGACTCGGAATCGATGCTGTGATTGGCCGGCTGGCATCTTACCAGGGTCACTGTCGGAGGTTCGCTCGCTTACGGCGGGCCCATACCCAATCAACACCTCGCCCTGCTACACCCTCTCCTCCTCCTCCTTCTCCTCCTCCTTTCCCTTCTCCTTCCCCTCCTCATTGCACCTCATTCTTCTTCTTCTTCTCCTCATCGTGCTCCGCCTTCTCGCACCTCCTTCTTCTCTTTCTTCTCTTCGTCGTGGTCGTCGTCGTCCTCCTCCTCCTCGTTCTCCTCCTCTCTCCTCCTCGTCGTTCTCACCACCCCGCACTCCCCAAGCCTCGGAGGATCTCGACCAACAGGTGGTGGTCGAGCTCTTCCAGCGCTGGCTGCTTGCACACGGTCGGGAAGTGAGTGACGATGAACTCCAGCGCCATCCCGCGCACCGCCTCTACGTTCAGGCTGCTGGACGCCTTGAACAGCTGCAGCACGTGCACCTCGTTGAAGGAGTCCCTGAGGTGGGCGCATTTTTATCCTGGGCTTCGACGTTTGGGGGGAGGGGGGCCCTGACCCGTCGCTTAAAGCGGCCGCCCACAGCAGCCAAGATCTGGTCTACGAGAGGGGGGGGGGGAGGGGGGTGCGGGGGCCCGCGCCGATCAGCGAAACAATGAATCAACAAAAACGGCGACCTGACGCAGTTCTCGCAGAAGTGCTTCAGGCGCAGGTTGCTGAGCCCGTAGAACGAGGCGGCGTCCACCAGGTACATCGCCGTGCCTGGCGTCAGAACTCCGAGGATGTCGTCGCCCGCGTACAGGCAGCGGAGGAGCGCCCGGAAGGCATCCGCGGTCATCGGCGCGCCCGTGTCGACGACCAGCCGGTTGGCCTGAGCGGCGGCGCGCACGAGGCATAGGGGGGGGAGGCTTCTTAGAAGGAGGCTGCTTCTCACAAGGCGTCGGCCTTGCATCTGCAGGTAGGGCCCGCGCCTTCCAAGAAGCAGGGATGCTTCTAAGAAGCCTTCCCCCCTCCCCCTAGCACCCCTCTGCGCGTGGCCGACCTGAGACTCCACCATTCCGGACGTGATGATGCACGTTTCGAAGTACCTGCTGCGGGCGACCAGCACGACCTTGTGGCATGGGATCACCTCGTTCTGGACGACGACTTCGAAGTCTGGCTCGATCTGCTCGTCAAGCAGCCTCTTCAAATCCGACGCCAGGGAGCTCGGTGGGACTGGCACCTGAGCGACGAAAAGACACGGGTCTTACGCGAGATGACGTAGTGACCTTGCGCAGTAGCTTGCGCAGGTCATCAGCGCGGCACGCCACTTTGGAAACGAGGACACTTAAGCCCGACCTTCGCGGGCAACTCGCGCGCCACTTTCGGTGGAGACGACCCCGTTTCCTTCCGTCGCCCACCTGGCATGAGGCCGGAAGCAAAGGCGCCTGCGGGGGCACCGGCGGGATTGGCAGCGGAACTGTTGCAGCCACCTGCGGGGATACCCCTGGCATGGCTGGCTGCGCCCCGCCGAGAGGGACGCCCCGCTGCTGCAGCTGCTGCTGCTGCTGCTGCGGCTGTGTCTGCGGCGTGGGGGGGACGGCGGCGAAGGCGCGCGAGTTGTGCATGCGCATGAGCTCGCACAGCAACCTCGGGTCCAGGGCCTCACACTCCGTCAGCTCAGTGCAGCGGTTGTAGTTGGCGAGGAAGAAGTGCTTGCAGGCCTCCAGAACGGGCAGCGCCTCGGGGCCCTGGTGTGCGGAGGCCATGCGCAGCAGGGGGAGCGCGTCGTCCAGGCTGAGGCGCACCCGGATCTGCCGCTCGCACAGCACCGCGAGCCGCACCACCTCCAGACGCCTCGCCGCGAGCAGCAGGTCGTAGAGCTTCAGGGGACTGAGCTGCCCGAACTTGGTGGTCTCGGGCCGCGCCAGCGGACGCAGAGAGGGGGAGGGGGAGGGGGAGGGGGAGGGGGAGGAGGGGGAGGGGGAGGAGGAGGAGGAGGAGGAGGAGGAGGAGGAGGATGATGAGGAGGACGGAGGAGGATGATGATGATGAGGAGGGGGAGGGAAGAAGAGGAGGAGGAGGAGGAGGAGGAGGAGGAGGAGGAAGACAAGGACGACGACGATGACGCCGACGAGGACGACGACCAAGAACGGCGCCTCGGCATACAGGTAGCGCAGCAAGTCCAACAGGATCGCGTGGGGCACGTCCACGGGCACCGCGGACCGGAGGTGCGTGTCGGGAGGCCGATGCTCCAGGATCAACTCGTGCAGCCGGGGGCACCGCACCCGCAGCACGTGCGCATGGCAATACACGCCGTGCTGGTGTGACTCGCCGCTGTCTGGTAAGAGCAGCGTGTCGCATGACAGCTGCCACTTCTCTTCCGTCTGCGATGCCTCCAAGAGGGCTTCAAAATCAGCGGACAGAGTGCACAGCGGTATCTTCGGCGCCATGTGAAACTCGAACACGTCTTTGTGCCTCTCTATGCCGTTGGAGCCGCCGAAGATCACCATGGAATTCGCCGACCTTTTGGGTACCAGCGTGGGAGATGTCTCCCCCTCCTCTGCCCAAGCCAATCACAAGCGCTGAGAGGTGATTTTAGGTCCTTGGGCGTCCACGTTGCAACACTTGGCAGGCGACATTGGGTAAGGATGGGCCGAAAAGGCAATGCTTAGAAAGCACAACTGAAAACCATGATCCTGGCGACGGACCCAACCATATGCAGTTGTGGGTACGGCAACTGTGAGCATCTTCTTCGGTGGAGCTACCTATGGGGCCACGCAGCGCTTCACTGGGTGGTGGGGAACGCATGCGGGCGGCAGCACTGGGGCCGTCGGCGGAGCTCCCTACGGGGCCACGAAATGCTGTACGGGGTGGGGGGGACGCATGTGGGCGGTTGCACTGGGACCTTCGGTGGAGCTCCCTATGTGGCCACGAAGTGCTGTAATGGGTGGGTGGGGGGACGCATGCGGGCGGTAGCGCTGGGACCTTCGATGGAGCTCCGTATAGAGCCACGAAGCGCTGTACGGGGGGGGGGACGCATGCGGGCGGTAGCAATGGGGCCGTCGGTGGACCTCCCTATGTGGCCACGAAGCGCTGTACTGGGTGGGGGGGAGCGCATGCGGGCGGTAGCAATGGGGCCGTCGGTGGACCTCCCTATGTGGCCACGAAGCGCTGTACTCGGTGGGGAGGGCGCATGCGGGCGGTAGCACTGGGGCCGTCGGTGGAGCTCCCGATGGGGCCACCAAACGCTGTACTGGGTGGGGGGGACGCATGCGGGCGGTAGCACTGGGACCTTCGGCGGTGGAGCTCCCTATGGGGCCACGAAACGTGTGAGAGGTGTGCTGAAACGAGTGATGACGGTGATGATGAGAGGAGGATGGAGGGCAGCGGGAGGAGTGAACGCGGGGCGTTGTCTCTTCAAAACGAGGACCCAACACCACAGGATGGTTGGGAAAACATGAACTGCCGGAGGTCCGCGAGGATGTCTTGGATCGGCGCCAGACGGCAGACCCCCCTCCCTGGCGAGCGGAGCGCGCCAAGGGCGACGTCGGATGCGCCGCCTATGGGGTCCATCGCAAATCCACGGAATCCGCGCGGAACTCCGACACTTTCTGTTCGCGATGTCTTTTCTCCTTCGGATCTCATCCGTGTTGGGGGCCCCGGCTGCCACCCTTGCTTGGGGGGCCGATCTTCGCGATCCGGCGGGTTGGCTCCGGGTCCCCCAAGCGGTGTGGTGACCACACTGCGTGGTGAGTCACTGGAGATTCGAGTTATGACGATTCCCTCTCCTGTTTTCCCTCCCTGACAAGGATGGGGGGGGTACGGGGTGGGGGTGGGGGGGGGCATGTCAGACTACTCCCAACCAACTGCGGCGAATCCCAAGCGACTCATGCTTTTCAAACCCGCACGAAAAACCGAACTGGTACTACTTCCGACTGGCCAAGGAACCTCACTTATGCTTAGAAATGCGAGGCGATCTTTGTACATCGCAATGCCGAATAACCTGCTTGAGTGTGCACATCTGTTCCAGGAGCTCACATGCTTGCCCAGGATGGAGCTTGTACTAAGACGGCTTACGATGATGTGGAACTCAAGATGTAGATGTGGATAACGGTATGGTGTTCATGAGTACGTACTGCATCTTCTATAACAGAAAAAAGCCAACCCCTAGACAACCATAACAAGGGCTGTCTAGGGATTTGACTTAAGGATTTCAAGGCTTAAGGGTTTATAAGGGTTGAAGGGCTTAACAGTTCAAGGGCTTTAAGGGTTTCAGGGCTCAAGGGTTTACGGGGTTCAGGGTCTAAAGGTTCAACGGTTTAAGGGATTACGAGTTCAAGGGTTGCCTGGCGATTTTATTGCAAGGCTTAGAAAGGGTCAAGGGTTAAAGGGTTTAAGGGCTCAAGGGTTTCAAGCCTCGGGCTGTAAGGGTTTACGGGTCACGGGCTGAAGGGTTTGTGTGCTCAAGGGTCCAAGGGTCCAAGGGCTTAAAAGGGCTTCAAAGGGTTTCAAGGTTTCAGGGCGCAAGGGTCTAACCACTTTACGGTTTGAGGGCTTAAGGGCTTAGGGTTTTGATGGTTTAAGGGCTGAATGGTATGAGGGTTCAAGGGCTCAAGGGTTTCGGCGACGGCGCCGTCTGCCAAGGTCCTCGACGACCACCCTCGGACGTGGGAGCCACGGGGCACGGCCAGAGGAGGACGGGGGATGAGGACGAGGGCTCGAGAGACGGACGATGATGATGATGCTGCTGCTGCTGCTGATGATGATGATGAGGAGGAGGAGGAGGAGGATGAGGAGGATGCGGATGATGAGGAGGATGATGAGGAGGAGGATGATGAGGATGAGGAGGATGAGGACGAGGGGCGCCTGTAAGACGCCTCTCAGAGATGCCTCTCAGAGACGCCTCTCAGAGGCACCTGCAAGACGCTTCTCAGAGACGCCTGTAAGACGCCTCTTAGAGCAAGCTGTAAGACGCCTGAAAAATGCCTACCCGAGAGGATTCTCATGTATGTTGTTTGGAATTCATAATACAAAAGTGGTTGGAATTAGTACTAGAGTGGCTGGAGTTTTCTCTAGTTGAGTGCACCGTGTCCCATTTCTTGGTGTGTGTGTGTGTGTGTGTGTGTTTGTGTGTGGTGTGTGTGTGTGTGTGTGTGTGTGTGTGTGTGTGTGTGTGTGTGTGTGTGTGTGTGTGTGTGTGTGTGTGTGTGGGGGGGTAGGGAAGGGTCCTGGGTCAGACTGCCGCTCCTCCCTGGGGTCCCGGCGGCCCCCCTATCTCCCCGGTCTCCCCTGTGGACAGGGAGGACAGGGGAGGTGTCTCCCCTGCGGGGGGAGGGGTCCTGGAGGGGGGGTCCTGGGATAGGTCCCAACTTTGGGGGGGAGGGTGGTCCCGGGTAAGCATGCCGCCCCCTTTGGGGTCCAGGCGGGTCCCGGAGGGGGGGAAGCGCCAGCGGGGGTCCCGGGGAGGGGTCCCGCCGCGGCACTGGCCGTGAGGCCTTCACAATGAACATGAACTGTCGGATGTCCGCGAGGAGTTCTTGGATCGGCGCTAGATGACAGACCCCTCTCCCTGGCGATCGGAGTGCGCCAGGGGCGGCGTCGGATGCGCTGCCTTGGGGGGTCCACCGCAGATCCAAGACATCCGCGCGGACCTCCGAAACATTATGCTCATGCTGTCGTCTCTTTCGTATCTCATCCGTATTGGGGGCCCCGACTGCTACCCTGGCTCGGGGGGCCGAGCTTCGCGACCTGGAGGGGTCGTTCGGGGTCCCCCAAACGGTGTGGTGACCGCGTGGTGAGTCAGTGGGGATTCGGGGTCACCGCGCGGTCATTGGACTCGGGTCGCTGTCCGAGGACACCTCGGACGACTGGGGCCTCCAGGGCCCAATGCACCGTGCGGTGACGGACCGCGCAGTGAGGTCGTTGGGGACTTCAAGGTCACCGCGCGGTCTGTTACCACACGGTTCTGGGGCCCTTACGTGGAGTGAGTCCTCCCCAGAGGTCTTGACCCCTTCGTTTCCTGACGGTCCCCCCAGGTGAGGGCCCCCAGAGGCTGAAAAAAGCGAAAAGCCTCCCGTCGTGATCTTGTTCACGACGTGAGGGGGTCTGGGTTCTGGGGCCCCCACATGGAGCGAGTCCTCGGAGAGGCCAGGTGAGTGCACCAGAGCCCCGGGGCACAGGCCCCTCAGTGGCCTCGACGACCGGTTGTCGCTCGAGCCGGGAAACGGCCAGGTTCATCCACGCGGGCTGATGCCAACCGCCCGCGCGAAGGAGGTCGGTGACCGTGCCCAGAAAGGTGCCGAGGTGTCGCCCAGACGGCCCTGAAGGCCCCAGGCCGCTTGAGCAGAAGCCCCAATAGAGGGCCCAGGGGAGGCCGCAGACAGCGAAACCCGTGGCACAGCTCTACGTTCATAGTCTGCGCATTCTCGTGCAGGATGGATCGTTTGCTTCTTACGTGCCAGGCGTTTCGGCTCAAGGTGGGCAGCGAGTGCCGAAGCGGGCCACAGGACGGGGCCCCAGGACGGCCCACGAGGGCCGAAAGACGTGCCACGTTGGCCAGGGAGAGCCCGCGAGAGAGGCCGGGGCGGCCCAAGAGGCCCGCCAGAGAAGCTCCAGCCTGCTCACCAGGCCGCGAAGCCAGCCCCAGGCTGCACCCCCCTACGGGGCACCAAGACAGAGAGGGCCCCCATCAGGTCCCCCAAACGGCACCAGAGGCCCCGAAGTAGCGCCCAGGACACCCCAGGAGGGCCTCCAGAGAGCCCAAGAACCCCCCCCCCAAAGAGGGCTCAAGAATAATTCCAAGTTTTTCCCTCCCTCTCCACCTCCTCCTCCTCCCCTCCCCCTCCCTCTCCATCTCCGTCTCACTCTTTTTTTTGTTTCTCTCTCTCTCTCTCTCTCTCTCTTTTCCCCCATCTCTCTTTCCCTCTCTCTCCCTCTCATTTTTTTTTTTTTTTTTTTTTTTTTTTTTTTTCTCTCTCTCTCTCTCTCTCTCTTTTTTTTCTCTCTCTCTCTCTCGGTCTCTTTCTCCCCCCACCCCTTGTTCTATCTCTCTCTCTCTCTCTCCTTTGTTTTCGTTCTCCAGCGCCTCCTCGTCCTCTTCGTCGTCATGTCGTCGTCCCCCCGTCGTCCTTCTCTTCGCCCCCTTGGTCCTTCTCGTTTTCCTCAAATGACGCCTGCATGACCCAACCTCAGTCTCAGTAATAGCAAGGGGTCGGCAGGCGTGACGTCAGTCCCTTGGATCTCTCCTCAGCACTGCAGCGTGAAAGTCCCGCCCTGGCGGGCACTGCCCATGGACAGCAACGCGGCTCCAGACGTGCGTCTGCAGGTCCAGCTGCTGCAGGTCGTCATGCCGCACGCCGTCGTTGCCGCCGTAAAGGAATATGTGGTTATCTCTCAGCACCGCGCTGTGTGCGTAACGCCCGTCTGACAAGTCAGTGCCCGTGCAAGCGAGCTTGCGCCACTGGGAGGTGTCAAAGTGGAAGGTGAAGACATCACCGTACCTGTTGATCCCAGATCCACCAACAATGTACATCATATTGTCGTTTACCATCGCCTGGTGGCGGTACCTGCCACACGGCAGCTCACCGTCCGTCACCACGTAGCTCCACTGCTTGCTGCAGAGGTCGAACCGGTGCATGTCCGTCGGGTAGTTGGTACCGTGGGTGCCGCCCCAGACGTACAGACCCTCCTGGTAGGCGACCATGCTCTGCCCGTACCGAGAGCTCGGCGTGTCCTCGACGGGGTCGGAGAGAGTCCGCCAGCACTCCTAGAAAATGAGCAAAGCCATAAACATAGACTTTTGGGGCTCCATGCAGATTTCTTGGATCTGCGCTGGACCCCCCTCCCTGGCGCGCGGAGCGCGCCAGGGGCGGCGCCAGAGGCGCCGCCAGGGGGCCCCAGCGCGGATCCGAGAAAGCCGCGCGGAGAGCCAACAAATTATGCTTATGGGTTTTTCCTTCTTCAAAGACTCCGTCTCGAAGCAGAACTCGCACAGGTCGCGCTTGTTCGTGTACCCGAAATGCGACCCGGAACCGCCGAAGATGTACGGGCGCGGCCTGACCGACCCCTAGCAAGCCATCTCCTTCCGTGACGGCATCCTCGCCTTTCGAGCTCCCCTCTGGCCGCACACACACGTCTTAGGGCGATGCGAGGGGGGCGTCACGGCAGGGGAGGAGGAGGAGGAGGAGGAGGAGGAGGAGGGAGGAGGAGGAGGAGGAGGGAGGAGGAGGAGGAGGAGGAGTGAGGAGGAGGAGGAGGAGAGGGAGGAGGAGGAGGAGGAGGGAGGCAGGAGGAGAGGAGGGGAGGAGGAGGAGGAGGAGGAGGAGGAGGAGGAGGAGGAGGAGGAGGAGGAGAAGGAGAAGGCGAAGGGGAGGGAGGAGGGAGGAGCAGGGAGGAGGAGGAGGATGGTTTGCCAGGGGTCGGTTAGGCCGCCCCTGAGATGTACATGACGCCCGCGACATCGTCCGTGACCGCGGAGTGGGAGGCGCGCCCCGAGGGCCGCTCCCCGCCCGCCTCGATGCGCCGCCACTGCCTCGCAGAGAGGGGCAAGGACAGCACAGGCACAAACTCTTCGAGCTTCTCGCGGATCTCTTGGAGCTCCTCCTCCTCCTCCTTCTCCTCCTCCTCCTCCTCCTCCCTCCTCCTCTTCCTCCGCCTCCTTCCTCTTTCCTCTCTTTTCCTCTTCCTCCTCCTCCTCCTCATCCTCCTCCTCCCTCCTTTTCCCTCCTCCCTCCTTCCCGCTCCCGCTCCCGCTCACCTCCTCCTCCTCCTCCTCCTCCTCCTCCTCCTCCTCCTCCTCCTGGGGCCCCCTGGCGGCGCCTCCGGCGCCGCCCCTGGCGCGCTCCGCGCGCCAGGGAGGAGGGGGTTCCAGCGGAGACCCAAGAGATCCGCGCGGAGCTCCAAGAGCTTGTTCAGGCGGTTTTTATTCTTCGGCGCCTGGAGTCCAGGTCCAGCACAGAGAGGTCGTCGAAGCAATTCGAGCCGTCGAACCCCCCGAATATGTACAGAAACCGGTTCTTGTACAAGGCGCACGTGTGCCCCGACCGGCTCTGCGGAACTTCGCCTTCGCACTCGAGCAGCTCCCAGCACGGGTACGGTCCGCTCTCTGCCGTCATCGGACCAGCGGCGGCCAACGGCCCGCGCGGAGATCGCCGCGCGCGGCGCTGCAAAGGCAGGCCGGGCCGTCACATCCGGATCCCCGGAGCTCGCCGCGGGCACTGCTGGCGGGCCGCGGCTGACGCCTGTTGGCCGACGCTTGAGCGGGACGGCTCGGAAGAGGAGGATCCAGAACGCCTAGCTTCGCGCATCGTGCACCGCGCCCCGCGATGCGCGGCTATCTTCGCGCCCTCGCGCTCTGGCGCCGCCCCCCTTTGAGAAGGGGCAGCTGCTCTCGCATGGGCGGCGACGCGCGAAGCGCGGTCATCCTCGCGCCCCTGGGGGTGACCTTGCCATCGCTCGCACGTCCATTCCCCGTGCACTGCTTGGCATCGTGCGCGTTTCCTTACTTTTTCAAGATGGTCCAAGATGCTCCGAGGGTGGTGCAGATTTTCTGGCGCTGGCCTCGCCCAGAGAAGTGCACACGTACGAGTGATGCCAAGTGGCCTAGAGGGTGAGGAGGGGGGACCCCTCCTTCTTCTCCTCCTCCTCCTCCTCCTCCTCCCTCCCCCGCCTCCTCCCCCGCCTCCTCCTCCTCCTCTCCTTCCTCCTCTCCTCTTCCTCCTCCTCCTACTTCTTGTCCCCTCCTCCTCCTCCTCCTCCTCCTCCTCCTCCTCCTCCTCCTCTCCTCCTCCTCCTCCTCCTCCTCCTCTCCTCCTCCGTCTCCTGGCTGGGGGGCGGAGAGAGCGGCTCACTGTGGCACTCGGCACGGGCCCTGCGCGAAGCCACGCCCGCGGCTCCACGACGGGGGGCGGGCGGGCGAGCCGGGGGCACCGTGTGCAGAGTGTCGGGTGCGGAAGGCACGGCAGGGTGTCTTCTGCAGCTGCTGTAGCGCATCCCGAGGTGCAGAGATCACACCAAAAAGAAGCCCCAATTGGTGGATGGTTTGAAATGGGGTCGATAAAGAGATCGATGAGGAGATCGACCAGGAACCCGGGAACCTGGAACCCACCGAAATCGGCCCGGAACCAATAACCAAGAACCCGGGAACCTGGAACCGGGAACCCGGGAACCCAGCCGGTCACCAACATCGGCGGGACACTTTCGCCAAATCTTTCAATTTCCGCTAGGACCCCTTCAGTGCAAGCACTGATTGGGGAATAGTGACCCTCGATTCGCTTTGAGACCGCTCTGTGGGATTCCCGAAGCCACCAGCTCGCTCCAGGCTGGTCTCAGTACCCCGTCTCTCGTCGCAGCGAGGCCCACCAACATTGGGAGAGTCACTGGGCCCCAGAACATCTGCAAGCACAGTCCCTTCTCCTCCTCATCCTTCTGCTCCTCCTTCTCCACTGCCCCCCGCTTCACCTTCTCATCACAAGTCGTGATCGTGGCTGCTGCTCCGCGAAAGTGAACTAAGGAAAATCCTGGGCAACCGCGCAGCCTCCCCGCGGTGCAGGAAACAAAAGGTCGAGAGCGAACTCCACCGAACGCCCTGCGGCCACGGGAGCTCTCAACAGCTCAGCAGCTGTCGTTTTTTGTTCCCAACCATCCTGTGGTGTTGGGTCCTCGTTTTGAAGAGACGGTGGCCCGCGTTTCCTCTCCTCCTCTCCTCCTCCTCCTCCTCCCTCCTCCATGCGCTTCACCCACCCAGTGCATCGTTTCGTGGCCCCATAAGGAGCTCCCCCGAATGCCCCAGTGGCAGGGTTCGCACGGCGGCCTCGGGCCATTTCGGCACACCCCTCACGAGGATCGTGGCCCCATAGGGAGCTCCACCGAAGGCGCCAGTGGCAGGGTTCGCATGGCGGCCTCGGGCCATTTCGGCACACCCCTCTCGAGGATCGTGGCCCCATAGGGAGCTCCACCGAAGGCGCCAGTCGCAGGGTTCGCATGGCGGCCTCGGGCCATTCGGCACACCCCTCACGAGGATCGTGGCCCCATAGGGAGCTCACCGAAGGCGCCAGTGGCAGGGTTCGCATGGCGGCCTCGGGCCATTTCGGCACACCCCTCACGAGGATCGTGGCCCCACAGGGAGCTCCACCGAAGGCCCCCAGTGGCAGGGTTCGCATGGCGGCCTCGGGCCATTTCGGCACACCCCTCACGAGGATCGTGGCCCCATAGGGAGCTCCACCGAAGGCCCCAGTGGCAGGGTTCGCATGGCGGCCTCGGGCCATTTCGGCGCACCCCTGTCGAGGATCGTGGCCCCATAGGGAGCTCCACCGAGTGGCAGGGTTCGCATGGCGGCCTCGGGCCATTCCGGCACACCCCTCTCGATGATCGTGGCCCCATCAGGGAGCTCCACCGAAGGCGCCAGTGGCAGGGTTCGCATGGCGGCCGCGGGCCATTTCGGCACACCCCTCTCGAGGATCGTGGCCCCATAGGGAGCTCCACCGAAGGCGCCAGTGGCAGGGTTCGCATGGCGGCCCCGGGCCATTGCGGCACATCCCTCATGAGGATCGTGGCCCCGTACTTGTGCTGCTTCAACAACCGCGCCTGGGCGTCGTACTCCGCCTTGTCGACGTGCAACGCCACCTCTTCCCTCATGGCTCTCAAGGCCCTCTCCTGCTTGTGCTCCTCGGTGAGAGGGGCGCCGTCCTTGTCGCCGTCGGCGCCCGCGAAGACGGCCACGAACGTGTACCTGAGCATGTCGGGCTCCAGCGGGAAGCCGTGGCCACATAGGGAGCGCGGGCGAAGATGGTATTCACAATTGCGGTATTCACAACTGCGTATGGTTGGGTCCTTCGCCAGGCTACTTTTTTCCAACATATATTTACACACGTATGTATATATAACGAAACAGTTATTCTTATTGTATTAACAAAAAACAGCTGTCGCTTCTGCTCAACTTTCTAAGCTTCTTCTGAACTTTCTGACGTTGTTTTGAAACGCGCTCTATGCGTCCCCGAAGCGTGAGCGCCGGCCTTGGGCCGCCCGACAGCCGACCCCAGAGAGCCCCCAGCGCGCGCTCTTGGCCTGGAGCCTGGGCGCCCGAACGGAGGCTGAGTGACCCGAGGATTGCATCCTGCCCCACCTCCGCCTCCACCTCCACCTCCCTCCTCCTCCTTCTCCTTCCTGTCTCCTCCTCCTGATCCAACTTCACCTCCTCTCCCTCTTTCTCCTTCCTCTTCCTCCTCCTCACCCACCTCCACCTCCTCCACCCCCCCCTCCTCTCTCTCCTTCTCCCTCCTTGTCTCTTCTCCGCCTCCTCGACCTTCTTTCCCCTCTCCTCTCCCTGCTCATCCTCTTTATCTTCTTCATCTTTCTCCTCCTGCTCACTGCTGCTGTTGCTCCTCCTTCTCATTCTTCTGCCTCCTCGTCCTCCCTCCATCACAACGCTGAACATTACACACGGTCGCTCCTCATTCGGCCGATGATGACCGACGAGGTTTGGGAGCCAAGATGACGGCAATGGTATGGCCAAGCGTTTCCCGACTGACGCGCAGGAGCACCTGCACGACGCTCTCGCCCTGGATTGCCTCACGAAATTTAGTTTGGAAATACGCTGTGGCTCAAGATTTCCTCGCGATTCATGCAGGACGCACGCTTCAGCAACCCACCTGCTCGACCTGACCGCCTGAACCGTGGTCTCGAAGCTCTGTCCGCTTCCGGCGGCGAGTTTCGCCCCTGCACGGCGCTCGGCGCCCTGCAAAATGCGAGCTCGCACGGCCTCCCCGGCTCCAAACCCGGGCGACCCCGATCCTTACACGCATACCCATCGGTCGGAAGAAGTAGGTAGAAACATGAGGTAAAAAGGCGTTGAAAGTAGACTGGGTGCCCGGCCGCCCACTCGATCGTTGAAGCAGGAAGGCGCTGCAAGTAGATCGGAATCTGGGCATCCAACAAAACATACCGACTTTCTCAACGACCGATGGGTAGCCAAGACGTGGCCGCCGCAGCGTGGTTCAAGGGAGCGGAGGAGGAGGGGGAGGAGGAGGAGGGGAGGAGGAGGAGGAGGAGGAGGAGGAGGAGGAGGAGGAGCAGGAGGAGGAGGAGGAGGAGAGGATGAGGGCAAGCTAGGTGCGCTCGCGTCATATCTGACATCCGACCCCTCCCTCCCATCCCTTACCATAGCGTAGATCCCCTGTCTACTCGCACAGTCGGATGTCGAGCAGGGCAATGATCCCGAAAGGGTACGCGATGCATTGGAGAGCACGGCATGGCATGGCGTAGAAGAGCACCGCAAAGCGTAGTATCAACCTAGCATTGCATTGCATGCCGTGGCATGGCACGGGAAATGACGCCAGCGCTGCAGCGGGAGCACGAGTCGGAACGAGCGGAAGCGCGGAAATGAGGCCAGCGCTGCAGCGGGAGCACGATTCGGAACGAGCGGAAGCACGGAAATGAGGCCAGCGCTGCAGCGGGAGCACGATTCGGAACGAGCGGGGCCCGAAAATGAGGCCGGCGCTTCAGCGAGAGCAGCATTTTCGAAACAAGTGCAAGCGAAAACCCAACTCTGGGGAATCCTGTCTGTAAAAAAACAGTACGCGGGGGGGGCTAACACTTTCAAGCCGTCATCAAGGGAAGAGGGAGAGTAGTATTCTTATGGAGTGATTGTGGAGGAGGAGGAGAAGAAGGAGGAGGAGGAGAAGGAGGAGGAGGAGGAGCGGTGTCCCTGGCCGAGGGCCCACGGCCCCGCGGCTGCAGAGTACCGCCAGGAGCGGACGGCACTCCGACGCGCGGAGGGGCAGAGCACGGAGGGCCCAAGGGCACCCCTCCAAAGCTTCGTCTGCCCTCCTCCCTCCTCCTCCCTCCTCCCTCCTCCCTCCTCCTCCTCCTCCTCCTTCCCCTCTTTCCGAATCTTCCTCCTCCACCTCCTCCTCCTCCTCTCTCCTCCTCCTCCTCCTCCTCCTCCTCCTGAACTTATCCCTGTGCCAGCTGAATCGGCCCCTTATCTCGGCGGCGACGATGTGGGCGAATAGCCAAATGGAGGGCATTACACGCATTCGCCCGGGTGCCTCGCCGAAGGCATGGACCATCGACGCCCTCGGACACATGTGTTGCTCTCCCTAAACTTTCGACCCCAACTGTCGCTTCCGATTATCT